TCTCTCACTCTCTCTCTCTCTGTCTCTCTCTCTCTGTCTCTCTCTCTCTCTCACTCTCTCTCTCTCTAGGGGTCGGCGAGATACTGACAGATCCGTCAGTCATTAAGAGCGGAGAGAAAGGGTGAGAAATGCTGTCTGTAACATGAATGAAAATGACAGGGTTAGGGGTGTGAATCATTACTGGTTTCACAATTAGATTCGGTTATGATTATCATGACAACGATTCGATTACACGATGCATCACGATGCGTTGCATCCTCAATTTTCAATATTACGGCACATTGCTCCATTTTCATATTCATTTTATGTCAAATAATTTTTGTGCATTTTTATTAAATTATATAAGCAGGCTACTTTTTTAAATAATTGCAAATTAATAATAAATCAAAACAATTAAGAATTTAACCAACTAAAATATAGCTTCAAAACATACAAGCGAATATAAAGTAATAAAGGGGGAAAAAGACAATTACAAGCACTTCCAGTATCTGAGAGTGATTTAAGTTTGTGAAAGTTTACAGGCAAACATAGTTATTGGTTTTTCTTTTTCCTCAGCATTATTGCTGTTTGATTATTACTGCTGAGATCACAGACGGTGGCAGCTTTAATCGGCTGCATTCACACTAATGCACAGATCCGCGTATCAGAGTAATTCCACGTATCAGGTGTCTCTAATGCAGCGTCTCTGGGAGGGACGGTACATTTGACCTCGTTCTCTCTTCTGACTGCCGTTATCAGCCTCCCTCTAGTTTTTTCCTGTTTTTTGAAAGTCATGAAAACACTATCGTGGCGTTTTTCTTTTGTTATTTGAGCAAATGGGAATGCAAAAAATATATTTATGGTACTCTCCCATTCACTGCTCTTCAAGTTAACTCAACCATGATGACTTCCGCTGTTGAGAACCACGGAAATGTGAAAAAGGTCCATCGATTACGGTCTATTATGGCTCGTTTCCACCGAGCGGTACGGTACAGTACGGTGCGCAATTATGTCCGTTTCCATTGTCAGAAGTTGTGAATGGTACCAAAATAGCGTACCGTACCACTTTTCCGTCGGGGTACCTAGCACAGCAAAGGGTACTAGGAGCTAAACTCACCGCAGAATGTTGATTGGTTGACTAGAATCGTCACTTTTGCGTGATACAAGGGGATAAAGCTGCTCCTTCACTCGTTCCGCTCTGCTGTACACGAGTGTAGGGCTTATTTACATCAGAGTGTGCAAACACAAAAAAATATAACAGTGTATTTTATCATTTTATATTTTCACACAGACAATAGCCGTTTCTCAATATGCGTTCTTGTCTAACGTCATTGCCCAAAAACCCGCGTAATTTTCTAAATATTACTGTTATTGTTTTAACAGGCATTCGTGGTCTCATTAATCTATTATTTGTTCCTGGTCATATCGTTTTGGCTGAGCACAAAGTTAATTTTATATATTTATTTTGAACTACTGTAGTACAGCGCTGAAATTGTAGCATACGTTTGACTGAATTGTTTTCTTTTGTGTTTATTTCCTCTTATATACTTTGTACTTATACTTTTATAATGGGTATTATTGTTCATTAAATCGGACATTTAACAAAGAGAGGCAGAGTTGTGCTTATTGTCGCGCTTTATCGTGCATCGCTACTTTCCGGCATACACAGTAAGTGTACTGTTGGCATGGAAACGCAAGCTGGATCAGGGTGTTCGGTCCGGAATCGTAGCGTACTGTACTGTACTGACCCGTACCGCTCGGTGGAAACGAGCCATTACTGCATCGATGCAGAATCGTCCGCATTGTGATACGTCGTAGACACGATTAATTTCAACACCGCTAGTCATGGTTGGCACCTAATTAAATTTCTCACCAATAAAATCAAGCTGTGAGGGACTGAAGTACAGTGCGTTTAGTGAATTGTGCTGTTGTCTATTATTAAGGTCTATTACAACTTGTATAGTATTGTAGAATTTATAAATTTTCTTCTGATGTATTTGATTGTCAGGTCTTATGATATGATCTTTGGCCCTGCGAATCTTGGAGACGATGCCATTCGAAACTTCCGCACCAAGCATCACTGTAACTCGTGCTGCAGAAAACTCAAACTTCCTGGTGAGTTTAGCGATCGCTGAACAGAATGATGCTGGATCAGAGCCTGTGGGCCGAAGCTACGTCACGAGGGGGCATGATGGGAAAAAACATGCCCTATCTATCTATTCATCTATCTATCTGTCCTAGCGACATGCTAATCATGTTAGAAACCTATACTAACAACATGCTAGTAGCATGCTAATCATGCTAACAACATGTTGGTAACATGCTAATCATGCTATAAACACGCTAGCAACATGCTAGTAACTTGCTAATCATGCTAGTTACTTGCTAATCATGCTAGCAACATGCTAGTAACATGCTAATCATGCTAGCAACATGCTAGAAACATGCTAGCGACATGCTAGTAACTTGTTAATCATGCTAGCGACATGCTAGTTACTTGATAATCATGCTAACAACATGCTTGTAACTTGCTAATCATGCTAGCGAAATGCTAGTTACTTGCTAATCATGCTAGCAACATGCTAGTAACATGCTAATCATGCTAGAAACATGCTAGCGACATGCTAGTAACTTGTTAATCATGCTAGAAACATGCTGGTCACTTGTTAATCATGATAGCAACATGCTTGTAGCATGCTAATCATGCTATCAACATGCTAGTTACTTGCAAATCATGTTAGTGACATGTTAACAACATGTTAGTCACTTGCTAATCATGTTAACTACATGCTATATACTTGTTAATAATGCTAGTTACTTGCTAATCAAGCTAACAACATGTCAGCAACATTTAGAAACATGTTAACGACATGCTAGTTACTTGATAAACATGTTAACAACATGCTAGCGACATGCTAGTAACTTGTTAATCATGCTAGCAACATGTTAGCAACATGCTAGTAACTTGCTAATCATGCTAATAACATGCTAGTCACTTGCTAATCATGCTAACAACATGCTAGTTACTTGTTAATCATGCTAGCAACATGCTAATCATGATGATTCAGGCTTTTACAACTGCTTTAAACTTTCAGGCTAGGCTTTCTCAAGCCAACCTAAAGTTTGTCTTGATGAACTTTTTTTTATCTAGTTTGTTTTATTGTTGCATTGAAATGTAGAGAAAACAAATAATTTTTTATCTTTTTATAGGCTATAGGTAGATACAATTCAGCATTTACTTCAATCAAGTTTTATTTTTTGAGTTTAAGCGTGTTTGTGTTAATTATGATTGATTTGTAAGTGAACTATCTAGTCTGTATCTGGCAGTTTCTAATGAGTTTTGTGTGTGTTTGTGGGCAGATCTGAAGCGGAACGACTACACTCCTGATAAACTGACGCCCTCCGAGGGCCCGTCCCATTCGCCGCCTGCAGGGGGCGCCGCTAAAGAACAGCGTCCCTCCATGCGCTTAATGCTGTGAGCCGCACACACTCGCATCACTGAAAACACTCTTCACAAGACAGAAACTAAGACACGGTGTGTGTGTGTGTGTGTGGAGGACACGTTTTATATGAACGCGTCGCCTCTGAACAAATGCAATCTAGAGATGTTTTAAAAAGTCACATTTTATCCTGTACAATTATAACAGGGAGTATGAGCTTTTAAAAGTATTTTTTAACATTTTTATGTCTGTATGAAACTATAAAGTGGTTAATAACTGGTACAATATCACTGTATAGAGTTAAATATTTATTCTAAACTACTACAAGTTGCCTTGTATAAAATAAAAGCAGTTTTACATGTGCTGTCTGTCACTTTTTGGAAAGAACACTTGCTCATTATACTATTATCAGATTTTGTACAGAGCTGTATGCCAAGAGAATGTGTTTATGTACAGAGCTGTATGAATGCATTTATGGTTCAGACTTATGTGTTTGAGTCTCTGGGCAGATTGCAATGCAAGCGACAGCGCAGTGTGTGTGAGATTTCACTGAAAGCGGTCCATGCAGTCGAGACTCATATGTTTATGGTGTTACAGCGGTACTCTTGTGCTTTACTGTCGCCGGAGGATCGTGAGAGTGTTATTAATCTAGTGTATCTCATAGATGCATTTATCTGGCACGATGCTATCAGCTGAAATGTGAGAATATTTGATGCTGCGGATACTATATTAATGGATCTGTACACATTTTTTACTGTATATTTAATAAAACACTAAAAAATCCATATCTGTTTTCTCTCACTCTGAAATTCATTTATCTTCGGCTTCTGTAGAGTGTTTGTGATTTATGGTGATGATGTGTGTTAAACAATAACAACCTGAGAGGTTTACGGTCTTATTTGCATTGTTTTATAATATTTTATGAGTTATGAGAATGAGTTTGTTCTTTAAACACTTTGCTAATTCTATTTAATTTTTTTGTTTTTACTGCATTACCCTCGTTATACAGCACTTGGTAAAACATTGTTTTCAAATGTATTTTATAAATTAACTTTATACTGTAAACTTGAAGCGTTCACACCAACTGACGTTTATTATAAGCGCGCTGCATTTTTATTATCTGCTTTTTTATGATCGAGCTCGAGTCAAATTCTGATTGGCCGTCAGTGTTTTTATCGTTCATTCATACGTTCATAAGAAAAATCGCTGACGAAAAAAAAAACCCGCGATCCCAATGATATCGTTTCTCTGTGTCGTTATAGTCGAACGATTATTAAAACATAATCGCTTTATCGTCCTTGGTGTGAACGGGCCTAGTCAGTTTATCCCGTGTCGTCTGATATAGACGTCTTTTAAAAATTAGTCAAAATTACTCTTGTTTTACAAACTAATTTACTAGTTTTACTAAGAAAAACACCAAACGGTTCAGCAGCATTTTTAAATAAAGAACCGCGCGAATAGTGTCGTTGGTCTGAGATCTCCATAGCAACAGTACAACGCGGGAGATGAGAAATCTTCGAACTGTCGTAATTTCTTTCTTTACATTAGTGCTTTGTTTACTTTAAAAGTCTTTACAAAAATTGTTCAACTGCTTTAATGGAGCCAAAATAACCCGGAAAATTACCAATACAGAATCCAGCATTTAAAGTTATTAACTGTTCCAGGCACCCCGCGTCAATTTTGTATTGTTGTTACTCATTCTTTAATAACGTTATGTGTTTGTGGCGTAAAAGCTCACCTCAGAGAAAATCCTGTCAGAATCGTGTTTCTGGATCGACGGAGAAAAACCCCGAAGAGATTTTCCCTCAAGATTTAACGTTAACTGTTATATGTGATTAGAATCATCCGATCCCCGGACAAACAATCAGGTAAGAAGCGTTTGAACAGAACCAAACCATATAACTACTGTCTTTAATAACGTGTCTTGGACATATATATATATATAAATAAAAAATAAATCTCTTGGGTGTATTATTAGCACTTCTCGTGTTGTATTACCTCATTAACATTAATAACTTTGTTGTATTTCTCATTCGAAAGTTAATTTGGATCATTTGAACAATTGCTAATTGAATAACTTGTATGTAAATGTTTGTGCCTTGAAATATCACGCAGATACTATAGTACACAAGTATGTAATATGGTATATGTCAAAAGTACGAGTCTAAAACTATCAGTGTACCATGCTACACCACAGAACTTCTAAGATGATTTCAGGTGACCTAGTCATTAAAGTTTTCACTGGCCGACCACAAAAAAACATTTATCGCAGAAAATTAAATGTTTCAGGTTGGAAAAATCTTACAAGAGACAATCGCAGTGGCTGCTGGTTCTGTGAGCTGGCCCTCACACTGACCCAGACAACCCTGCTGAACACTAACTAGTCTAGTGTGTGTTACTGTTTCTTATAAGACAACATACAACTGAGTGAATGTTTGATTTGTGTTCATCAGATGGCATTGCAGGTCAAGAGGTCAGCCGGGTCACACATCACTTTGAAGAAGAACTCAAGAAACACCAGAACCTTCCTTCACACACTGGACACATTCTCAACAGGTAAACACACACACACACACTCACTCACTCACTCACTCACTCACTCACTCACTCACTCACTCACTCACTCACTCACTCACTCACTCACTCACTCACTCACTCACTCACTCACTCACTCACTCACTCACTCACTCACTCACTCACTCACTCACTCACTCACTCACTCACTCACTCACTCACTCACTCACTCACTCACTCACTCACTCACTCACTCACTCACTCACTCACTCACTCACTCACTCACTCACTCACTCACTCACTCTCACACACACACACACACACTC